GGTCCGAAATTGTGAAACAGCGGTTTTCACGCATCTTTTTGTCGATTTTCTCTACCAGTTCAGTATTAACCGTTTGAGTCCGGCGAAGCGCGATAGCACTTCACTTGTCGTATGCCAAAAATACGGCGCAGCGCGATAGCGGTTCTCTTGTTTTGTATCGAGAATGCGAAGACGCTGCTGTTGGTTAGTATACTTTACGCAATTATTGAGAGCAGTTGTAGTGATATCAGTAGCAGTTGCTTTATAGGAATTGGAAATTGTTTTCATTTTTTTACCAAGTGTTATACTGATAATTACGAAATAACACATGTCAAGTTCTGATTCATTTGAAAGTGACTATGTTATGAGAAGTGATAATGAAGAGTATAGTGATGACCTTGAAAGTGATAGTGATAATTATAGTAATGATGATGATGAAGTAACTGCAAGTACCTCCGATGACGATATTATTGATGAGTTTTTACCCGTGGATAAAGTTTTTTCGAACGAATCGAATACTTTTTCTGAAGTACCTGGACCAAAGCATGCCCCTCCTCCTGATGCGAAACCAATTGAATATTTCAATATTTTTTTTCAATTTTCAATAATTTTTTTTTCAAGTATACTAACCAACAGCAGCGTCTTCGCATTCTCGATACAAAACAAGAGAAGCGCTATCGAGCTGCGCCGTATTTTTGGCATACGAAAAGTGAAGCGCGGCAGCGCCTCGCCGGACTCAAATGGTTAACAATGTTCGCCGGCCTCTCATGCTTCCTCTTGAACATTAGTGTGGCCAATTTTAAACATGATGCACCACTGTCTCACTCTGGCTTCATTCATAACGTCGTTTCCATACACCGATGATGAACAATTGACGTTGAAGTTACAGCAAAGGGGCGGTGGAGGATACATGTTATGCAGATACAAACATGTTCATTGATAAATCTTAAAATGAAGATGGCGACAATTCAAAAATATTTACAAAATATGTACAAAGTGGTAATGTATGCATTTTCCTGCTTTACTAGAATTTATAAAGTTTTTAACTTCATCGTTGATAAAATTGGAGCAGCGGTTTACTGGATATGTTAGTAAGCTGGATTGTGAAAAATCGTCGAGGTATCTTGAGTGGCTGTACACCTGTGGGATCATAATTTGGCAGTATAAGAGTAATTTGTGCCCATCACATTGGTGAAAAGTTGTCAGAACTTGTTAGAATGTAATCTTGAGCATGCGAAAGATCAAGATGGATATGAATGCTTAAGTTTCTCACGGAGCAAGGCCAGGTGATGATCGAACGGTGAATTTTAGTTTGGAAGATCCTGTTCTTGAAAGTTCAGCTGCTCATCCAAGAAAATTCGTAGGTATTTGGTAGAGCTCGCTGTTGGGAGTAGTCGATTTATCAGTCTGTAAATTAAGAATGACTTGTTGATTTTTGCGATGTCTTCTGAAAAGTACGACACAGCATTTTCTGCATTTAGTTAGACTTTCCATATTTTGCGCCATTGTGCTATTATATTAAGTCCAACCTGCAGGTTTTCAGCTGCGTATTGGGATCTGATCCATCTGGACGTGACAACAGTGTCATCTGCATATTTGGCTGCTTTGCAATTTAGAAGCTCCGGCATTCCATTTAAACATGTATTGAATAATTTTGGAGCTAAGACAGAGCCTTGTGGTACTACAGCACCGTGTGTATATCTTTTTAGAGAGCTTATTGCCGACTCCTACTTGGAAAGTACGACATTTAAAATATGAACTTGGTAACTCGATTGTATTAAGTTCTATACAGGCCTTTATGTCAGATTTGATCGAAAGCTTTTCTATGTCTAAGAAACTGGCTGTGATGCTGCATTTGTTTGTGAAGGCTTTGGCAATCATTTCAACTACATTTATTATTTGTAGCATAATACTGTGATCTTTTCTGACCCCAAGCTTGTTATCTTTGAGGACATTGTTTACAGTAAGATGTTCAATGAGTCGTATGTATCACACTTTCAAAGATTTTTCAAAGACAGGGGACGGGGATATAATTGGCTGGAATTTTCGGGTCTTCGCCCGGTTTGAGAAATGTAATTATGATCGCATGTTTCCACTGTCGAGGAAAATGTGCTAACCTTAAGCATGCGTTTATTCACAAGCAGGATGTAACATTTTCTTGGAGCTCTTTTCGTGTCGAGGTTTTTTTTAATTATTTTTTAGATTTCAATTTGCGTTGCATATGAAATGCTCGTAGAGCGTTTACCATATACGTCAGTAGATGATTTCGAATTTCTTCATCGTGTTGTGTCGTGTGTATCCCACTTGGTTTGGAACAAAGAAGTCCTCTAGGACCGTGGCGAATACTTCAGTGATTTCGTCTTCTGACTAAGCAGTGATATTTGCATGCTGCAGTGGTCCGTTGTTACTGGCTCTTTTCAGTCTTAGGGGTCTTGCAATCCGCCAGACTGTGTTGTGATCAAACTCCATGTTTTCGAGGAGTGCGTGCCATCTTTCTGTTCGATAGTCGCTTATTAGTTATCTTATTTCTCTTATAAGATAGTTGAGATGCTGTTTGTCATTGGGGTCCCTGATGAGTTCCAACATTTTCTTGCTCTGTTTTTATTTTAATTTTTCAAGTGTGTAGGCAGGGACAGCTGTTGGATTTCTTGATTAACGTACTTAGTAGAATTATTCAACGCTTAAAGCAAAATCAGTGTCGGCTATAGTGCGAAACTGAGGATTTTGCATTGTAGTTTTTCTGTCTGGGGTTTAAACTTTAAGCCCAGTTTGTGATTTTTTTTTATTTTTTATTTTTTTTTTTTTTTTTTTTTTTTTTTTTTGCAGTCCATAAAGGTGAATATCACTGTAAAGTTATCTGAGCTCTTCCAAAACTTCCAGATCTGGTGCGTGATGTATACCGTTACTCAGTGGAATGTCTAATACTTCTGTAGTTACGTTGTGATATATACGAGTTGGAGATGTAGGGCCTACAACTTTGATCCCATGTTGATTGGCAAACTGTCGTTAAATTCTTCCATGACAGTTACTAATTCTTGAGTTTTAAGTGGTGGGACTTTTCTGAATTTAAATCTTCCACTATTAAAGTTGAGTATTCAGCTCTTGTAAGATTATATAAGTCTTCATTTTTAAGCACTTGGCGATTATAAACTGAAATAAATTGGAAAGCCTCTTTTGTGGTACCTTAGATTAATGAGCTGTTGCTTCAGTATGGATTGGAGTTGGGAGTATGCATTTGGAGAATTTGAGATGTTCTTTTATTAAAATCGTTGTAACGCCTCCTCTATTATGTGTTGTATCTCTGTGAATAATTTTGTATCCGTGAATCTTTGTATGATCACTTGGTCTTTTAGTGGCGTCACTTAATCTTAGTCACGCTTTTGAGTTCCATTCATAAAGTAATATGCTTGTGAGTGAGTTCATATAAGCTTAATTTGTCCCATTTTTACCGATCCGTCTGCGGTTGAAAATGATCCTGTCCGTTTTCTGATTCCTTATTCGCTACCGTGTTTGCTAGTTATGCAAACGCAATTCCTTCATGTGCTTAAGCCCGGACATCCTCTTACTTACTTACTTCCCACCAGTTGAGTTGCTGTATCGCCTGTTATGTGACTATCAGCATTTGTACTCATTTGGTGAAGCATTCTATTATCGCTAGCCAAAAATCTGTATAGAATATTAAAATTTAATTAAAAATTATGTAAATTTGTAGCTGAATTTATAAAGTTACTTCGAAAGATAGATATTTGTGACCTGTGGTTATTAAAAAGACTGTGAAGACTTTGCTGAATGATATTTTTTTTTTAGATTGCATTTAGATTTTTGCAGTTCATTGCCAGGTAGTCTATGAGATTTTAAGTTTTCTTCTTAGTTGCTTACTCTTTTGGAGTTTTTTCAGCCATACCTGGGCATTTTCAGCTGTGTACGCCTGAAAATGTAGGTCTTTGGTGATTTCACACTCAAACATATAGTGATCGATGGTACCTGTTGAGCCGCATATGCATGAGTCCGTGTGGTGCAATCCGAAGCGCCACTGATGTCATGCGCTGTGTTGAAGAGTAAGAAACAAAAAGAGACTGCGAACTACTAAAGGACACAGAATTTTTTCTTTAATTTCTCAGCCGGAGAATTCCACTAGACCTCTGACTGCAGACGACACTGCAGCTTGGAAAGAACAGGTGGAAATAAAGTCCGAAAAGTTCGTTTGCAAGACAATAGGGAGTACGACGATAAACAGTTATAGAGATATTGACAAAACATCTACTTCGCAAAGTACCAAGCCAGCGTTGAAAGCGTAGATATAATCCCGAGTCAAAAGGTACGAGCTAGAAGAAAATTCCCTTCAATCTCTTGGCAGGAGAAAAGTGACCATTCAGCTCAGAGTATCGCGAGCATTGCTGGAAGGCATACACAGTTACAGTTACGTAGGGCCGGATACAGCTACAATTGCATAGAGATCGAATCCGTTATATTTACACAGGGTTTGGACTTAAATGTCTTCTCGGCGACATTTGTCAATATATCAGCAAATTTGGCGAAAAAAATTAGTCGCCAAAACCATCGCTAGCTTGGCGCTATCTCGCCAGGGTAAGATAGCCGTTTACCTGAATTTTAAATGCACTTGCCCATGTAATCCTATTTTGCCTGCAAAGCTTTACATTCTTGAGAAATTTCATGTTTTATACAAGAGATACTAAATTTTACATACAATTTCTCTAAGCATATTAACATATACGCAAAATTCCTAAGAATGTCATTTACCAGACATGCTGATACATAAAGCATCACAAAGCTGGTTTCAATTCATCTGTTGTCTGCAAAATTGGGCAAAAGGCACTTTAAAAAAAAAAAAAAAAAAAAAAAAAAAAAATTGTACCCTTTAAAGCTTACCAAATGAAGGTATTTCCTTTTGTGTATATATTTAATTATCTTCTTTTTTGTATCTGTGTAATTGTTTCTCTTTAAGAAACAACTTCTTTTAACCTTTATCTAATATTTTTGTAAAATCTTTTCCTGCTCAGAACAACTGTTATCCATCTGTACGAAATGTTAGAAATGAATCTCCTCTGGACTTGGCTTCACAATATGGCCGGTTAGATACTGTTCAGTGCTTACTGAATTCTCATCCAGGTCTACTCTCAGACATTGTAAGATGTCATTCTCCACTTCATCTTGCTGCTAAAAATGGACATAAACATGTGGTTAAGCTCCTATTGGACTCTGGATTTGATATTAATTATATGGTAAGTTAATATTTTTCTCCTTCATAATATAAAAATCAAATTCCTTTTCCTAATCCAAATTATCATGTACTATTGAAGCTACAAAATCAGAAAATGAGCTTAAGAAAAATGTTTATTAACTGTAGTGTGTAATTGAAAGTATTTCACTTCATGTTTTTAGGTGTAGTAATGGTAGGTTTGTTATAATTATGGTAATGAACTCTTGGGCTGTTTGCCTAGATGGCTATTACAAAATTTTTTTTTCCTAAACCTGTCTTATATTTTGAACTGACATATTATTAATTGTGTTAATAAATGAGAGAGGTCATTTTCATTCACATCAACCGTCATTCAAATTAGATGAAATGCAAAATCCAGTGAGAAAATCGCCCTTAAAACAGGAGATCTAAAATAATTTTATATCGGAGAGAAATCATAATATTGAATCTGTTTTAGAGTCCTAAATGTGTGCTCAGACGTTCTGTTCCGTATTTAATTTCTGCACCGAATTCTCATATACTGAGTTTTATCTATGTTTCTGAAGCAAATTAGAGGAGCAGCTGTATTAAAAAGTTTTTCAAAGAGGTTCAGTAAATTATTGTTGAATCACTAAGAGATCTCTCTAAGTAATGAAAAGTTAGCTGTAGAGCAGTTTGAAATGCAGATTTGCAGTACTGATACCAGAATGGTAAAATCACATATAAAGAGTGGTCCTTTTGGAACTACATTTTTTTACCATTTGTTGTGGGTAAAATGTTTGTTGCATCCATCTCATGTTAGCAGAATCAACACAGTTTGCTGCAGTGCATCACATGGCAAGCCACAGGAAGTTTGAAAGTTGGTCAAAGTCAATAAATTATAGAATTCATCTTTGAAATGAGCTGAAGTGTAATTGCACACTTGTAAAATTGGTTCCAAGAGCAAGACAAGAAGTATTCAAAAACATCCTAATCGGGATTGTTCCCAAACTATCTTGTCACATGTTGTTCTAACACAGATGCCTTCCCTTATGTTGATTGTATGGATGTAAATGTACTTTTTATTCTCCAAGAAATTCTGATATCATAGAAGTGTTGAAGAGCAGTGTGAGTGGAGATTCAATGAATGTAGTCATAGTAAAATAAAGTAGATGCCCAAAACAGTCACATTTTGCTGGAGGAGCTGTACTTTTTTGAGCAAAGATATGCTCAGATAGATGTACAGGCCTGTTCATCATCTGGAATTGGCCCCTGTCTACTCAAAGGTATAAGGATGAATTTCTTAGACCTTTGGTCATGCCTTTTACGGATCTCCTTGCTCTTTTGTGAATGTCTTTAATGGATTATAACTGAACTCATGTAGCACATCTTAAACCTGATGCGTGAAGGAAAACAGTTAGTAGAGTATGCTTTCTGCTTCATGTATTTGAATATAATTAGATCATGCTTGGGATTCATCAGGCAGAAATATTGATGCTAGATCACAACCTCCATTTAACCATTTTCAGTAGAAAATGCTCTTCTGAAGGAGTAAGAAAAAAACCATCAAAGCCTTATCAGTTCAATGCTTTGTAGTGTAAAGCTGCCTTGCTTGTTTGAGATGTCCACATACCTTATTAGGGAATTGACAAAATTTGTTAAAACTTTTTTTTCCTATTCAAAAGACATAGATAGTCATGGCCATGTTTAGAGGGGATTTCAAGGGACTGCACCCCCCGAAATTGTAGTTTATAACAGTAGAGTTTTATAGTACAGTTGCAAAAACATTGGTTTATGTCACAGCCTTTAGATTCAGCCATGTAAATAGTAATGTAATATTGTGAGCTTTGGAGTCCACAATATTATCTGGTGAAGCTGTGAATAAGTTACTAATTTAAATCTTAAACTATCCAAACCAGCCAAAAAAAAAAAAAAAAAAAAAAAAAAAAAAAAAAAAAAAAAATTTCTTGGAAATATAAGTGCTAGCAAAACAAATGTCTTTGTGATCGTAATTATCTTTAGAATTGCGTTAATGATTTTGAAATTCCTGGACTGTGTTAGGTAAGGATCGGACAAAAAGGTAAATGTAATTCACAAATAAGAACATAACATAAATTTCAAATTAATTCTGGTTCGTTAAATATTCTCAGGTCTAAAAGGAATTCTCACAGAATTATCGTTGTATCATAATTTACCTAGTTATGGACTACCCAGTAAATTTTGTATAGTAACTTAATTCATAATTTTGGAAAAAAAAATAAACTGTTCAATACAAACTATTACTTTATATGGGGGCAGAACATTACACATCCCCTCTCTAGTTTTAAGTATGATTTTTAACATTTGGATGAATAATTAACTCATAAAATTTACACTTATTAATTATGAGGAGCCTTCAGCCCAAATTTGCGTAAATTACAAGGATAAGGAAATAGGCAAAAATTCCAGAAAAATATGATGATTAAAGTCTGGCAGGCATAGAATTTTCTTTTCTAAATTATTGTTCCTACTAATTTTAGTTTCAGTATACCAATCAAATCGAATATCCTATCACACAAATAAGCAAAAGGGCACTTATCTTTTGAAATTGTGTCAGCAAAACTGGAAGAGGAAAAGGGTTTTTCATTCCATGATGCCACCTTGACTCAGGGCTAGGTATAAATTACTTAGCATGTGGCAGTTTACTCATCAAAGTCTATCCAGGAATTTAAGCAATGTCTTATCTCAACAAAGTCACAAAAGAAATCCGGAACTCGCATCAAATACACCCAAGAAGACTTAGTCCGCTACAATATCTAGCTGCTGCTAGGGTAAACAGTTTATGATTCGTTGGGGTCATACAGACCCATATCTTTTTCTATGTACGACTATTCGGTGCTACCTCAGTTGAAAAATAACCTCTGGACTAAACTGGTTCACAGGGCCTGTTTAGGAGTTCATCACGAAGAAGAAGAAAAAGCTTCAGGAGGTCCCATCATCCAGACAAATCCAAGAAACGTTGCCGTGACTCTAGTTGCGAAAATGCTAGCTAACAGCTGATGCAGAATTAAAATTTGGTAGGAATTCCATCAGCAAAGCCAAAAAGTGATTCCTACTCGAAATTTCCTTCATTTCTTTTAAAAAAAAACACAGGCTACCACAAAACTGGATTTTTGCTCATTTTAGGGACCAGATTTCCACTTTTTGTCCCAAAAGACAGAGCAATATGAATTGCGCACGTACGGACTAAATCAAAGGCCGCCAAAACCGGAACTTAGATCGCCAAGCAATGACTGATGCTTGTAGGTGAAATGATAACCCCTCTGGCCTTTCGTCACATACTTCCTGTCCTAACGAGCTCCTCTTGGGCATTGATTCAGAAGAATTCCTGGGAAGTACTGGCTAGAATCTGTACTTAGACAGTCTCAACCACGAGGGTAGAAAAACGGTCTTCACAGGCTGTGCGTGAGTTTACTCGGGACGGTGTCAGCAGGAACCGTACTGGTACTGTCTCGTCTGCCCCTGGGCCATGGGGTCGCAACATTTTAGATAAATAAGTGTGGGGTGGCACTTAATTCCGATTGGCAATAGCCTTAGGATGGAAGTTGTCCTAATGGGCAACCAAAACAAAGCAATTTCTTTCTAGGAAGTATGTCCACGGAAGTATGTCAGCCTGAGAAAATGACTAGGCAAAAATTCGTTTTCTTTCCATAATTCTTCACAAGGACACAGAAATTTTGATTAAATTGAAATAAAAGAAAAAGAATAAAAGTATCAATGAAGCATTTGTTTTTCCCCCAAATTAAAGAATTTACATAACCAAATATTAAATTAAATAATAAAACATTAAATTAATAATTCAAGGAATTAAATAAAAAATTCATATTTTTCTTAAATAAGAAAAATAATTAACTTGAGCTCTTTCATAACCGAAAATTCAAACTATTATCAACATAACAGTAATGATATTAATGACACCAGATGTGTTTCCAATAAAAGCAAACAAGTTTTATTTACCTTAAAACATGGTTTTTCACCTGTTTGACTCTTTATTTTCTAGTTATAATCATAAATTTATATTGTGTTGTATATTTTTCAGCAGTTATATGTTCTTGCTACATCACATGCTTTCCTAGTTTTGTTGAATAGAATATTTATGACAAGTAATTAAAATTTTACATTTGCCAATTGCTTACTTATATTTTCATTCACATATAATAGCTATTGCGGAACCAGCAGTTGTTTAAAGTTCCGTATATTTTTATAATTAGATGGGTTGTGTGAAGTTTTTGTTTGCGAAGAAGAGATGCTAACATTACAAAGCACAATTCACCAACAACTGCATAACTTTTAACTATTAATTATTGCTTTTGTTGTTGCACTAACTAGATTATATATGCTGGTCCACGTAGCATTGTCCAAATATAATATTCTCTAATCCCATAGTGCACTTTACATTTGTGAAAGAGGCTCACCAGCGGCTGAGCGGAAAAGTCGCTGAACACTGGTAGTTTGGTCCAAGGTTCGAATCCGGCGAATGGGCTGGCTACATGGGCGTTTTCATGGTTTTCCCCATGTGTAACATGTATACAAGCCAGTTTCCCTTAGAAAGTCCTCCCCGAAGGCATCCCTTCTCCCTAGGCAGATAGCCCTAGTGTGCTATGCCATAATTAAATAAACTGAAACCATTTGTGAAAGAAATCAAGTTCTGGCAAGTGCTGCCATTTTGTAGGGGCAAAGGGAATGATTCAGCGATTTGCCACTGTACTCCCTCCAAGTACCAAAGGTACCAAGAACTTAGATACTGAGGGTTGAATCAAACCCTCCATCCAGAGTGAGTGACTGTTAGTGTTGTAGTGTTGCTCAAGCTTCAAGCTTTCAGCTGGCTGAGAGGCAGAAGAAGACAGAATATTAGATAGTACATTTGAAGCTGGTGGACCAATGGCTGAAGGAGCAGTTCTGGGTGGACATGGTGAGTCATCAACCAAGAGGAATGCAAGCTTAAGGTGATCAACACTAATTGTAATTAACACTGATGGTTAGGCAAGCTTAAGGCAATCAACACTAACTGTTTACAGTTAAACA